GCAGATGGGAAAATAGATGACTCAGAATACAGTATTAACAATCCATATTTTTTTAATCAAAGGCCTCTAATAAGGCATGTTGCATCTGTAAGATTCATTTAAGCAGTTGCTAAGAAGAATTTGTTTTTTCAAGTAAACACAACAAACTTGATACAGATTATTTTTTGATTGAATATCTATTTTCTTAACAATTTAAAACCTGAAAATACATTTGCTTGTTTTCGTTGCACCAGCTTAATGGCAGTATTCCATAATTTAGTTTGATAGACTGGAGGTTTGCAATGGTAACTCATGCATTATGGAATTACTAATGAAATCTAATTTTATCATATTGAAAACATCACAGGCCTAGAGCTTTTATTTACCTCTGTTAGCTGTCAAGGGTGGATTAAGATTATAGTGTGCTGCATCCACCAAAACTTTGGCTTTCGCCCCCTGAAAAGTTTGGATGGCTACGGATATGTGCTGGCCAAGTGCAGCTAATGAGTTCCAGACTCTTTTCCAGACCCCTTTGCCTGAATCCATGGACCGCAAGCACCACCGAGTATCTCAGATGCAAGTCCTTCCTCCTGACTCCTGTGCTGGACACAGGTGGAAGCCAGTAGTCAGGATTTGCATTGCACCCTTTGACTTGATGACTTCTGAGAGTCCTTTTTTGGTAGTACTTTATCTCCTTCCTTCTCAGCTTACTGCTACAGAACTCGGGTCTGTAGGCAGGAACGCATATGTATTTTCCAAGTGCCCATTTTGGTCCGAATCTTCGTCAGCATGATTTGACCAGGGTTGCAAACAAAATATGTAAGGTACGGTGTGGGTCCTCCTGCAGGCAGAAGTAGTATTGACTGCAGGTAATTATTCTTTGGTTTGCTGAAAATACTGATCCAAATGAAGCTGGTCCATCTGGGATGCAAGAAGTTAGACGGAAACACCAAAAAAGTAAAAATCGTTGTACTTCCCTTGCTGAATTTTGGTTCTGAGAGACGACCACATCCGTACGTGAGGAAAGAATTCATTGTGTGTCACTGTTCGAAGACATGTAAAAAATGCAATCGACCTGAAACTAGTATTGACCAGAGTAAGTTCAGTTAAACCATTAGTTATGCTTTGATTCTGTGCTGATTGTTCCAGCTCAGGGTGGTGCTGCTGAAAGAACCTTCTGCCACTGGAAGCTCAGGTTGATGGAGCTCCTTTCTACACAGGTGCCTTTCTTCCGCCAGGGTTTCCCCTACATCAGGGAGAGGAGAAGGCAGAGGCAAGAGCTGCTGGCACTCAGCTTGCACCACTGGGAAGCTTGCCCTGCAAGGATGACTGTTAGCTGGTCTCTTCGTAGGCAAAGTCAACTTCCTTTGCTCTAGCAAAGCAGAGTAGAGAATTTCAGCGTGGCTTCTTTGGGTGCGACTGTATCTTGAGAACCCATCAGCTTGTAGAAGAAATTATTGAATGTTACCTGGCTCTGGAGATGGTTTTGCCTTGTTTTTTTCCTTGCTTCCCTTATACATCGTAACTCTTTAGTGATTAGGTTAAGAAATATACCTTTCAGGACAAAAGGGTTTTTTTTCTGTAAACACCTAATCTGTCTACTGGAAAACTGAGTACGCTTACCCACTCTAAAAGACTACATGTGTGTAAAACAGATGCACACACTTTCTGAATATTATATATTATTGTATGTAATTGATAGATCCATGGCATGGTAAATCGGAGTTTGGACTGTTGCTTTCCCAAACCCACGTGATTACCTGATGACATGAAGGGTCCCAGTGAAGGCAAATGCTTTTACCAGAAACTCAAGTCACTGAAGACCTCTGTCTTGGAGGTGGCCCATCTTGACACTAATTGCTGTCTGTTGTGTGATTGTGGATGTTTGATCTCCGAAAGGACATGATTGATTCCGTTATTTGGAGTGGCAGAAATTGAACTATCTATCATTGCCAGACAAATACTATCCTGATTACTGAACTGCTACAGTTCACAGCTTTTAAAAAGCTGTCAAAATACAATTTAAAGCCTTTTTGAATTCCTGTAGCTTGCACAGCTGAATGCTGTCCTCTCTTTTCCCATTAACGCCGGTAGCCCGAGTAGTTACAACAACAAACTATGTGGGAAATTATTTATGGCAGTTTAGATTGTGAACTGTTTGCAAGTGAAAATAAGTGAGAGTGCTGAGCTCTATCGCTTTAAGAATTTGAATCAAAATATTTATCGTGCAGGGGAATAATTAAATATCTTGTTTGAATTATTTCTGTGCATCTCATTTGATATATTTGCTGTTGCATTCAGCATTTAGGCTTTTGGCTTTGGGCTTCATGAGGGAATATCTATAGCACAGACAGAAGTCAAGAAAAAATATTTTGAAATTTACCAAGGAGACATATATGTCCGTGGAGACACACACACACACACACATCCTAGAGTCAGTTGTGGCTTTTAGATGTGCTCAAGTGGTTTTCTATAGTACATAGAGCGCTCTGACTATTCCTGCCTAATCCAGCATCTGATGTCAGATAGATGAGACCTTCATAACTCTATTTTCAGTTTCTTAACGTCCCTGTTTTCTGTCATTTACTTCCTTTGAATGTCCCGAGCATCAGCCATTCATACAGATGAGTACTGCAGCTCTCTGGGCCCCGTGGGTGACATGGCTGAGATCATTCTGAACGATTCTTATTCTCTGGATTTAAAAATTCATTCTCTTTATGTTTTAATTTCCAGCCCAGCTGTCTGTGATCTTCAAAGAATATTTAATTCTGTTTGCTGGCTCTGTTTCTTGATTGAAATTTAAATAAAATCTCACCCATCACATTCTTCTCTGACAATTTATTAAAAAATGTTTTTCAGTGCAGAATAATTATGTGATCGCATGAGTTGGAGTCTATTCTATGCAGTGTAAGCCTGATGTCTACAGTGGTGACTGAGAGGGAATAAATGGCTACCCAGGCTGGCCCAGAGCGGGTAGGAGACTTCATCAGTGGCAGGTCTCACAAAACACTTACACACAAGATTGCCTTCCTTAGTCCGTTTACTGGTCCATGGAGCCCCAAATATGTTTCTCCTCTCACACATGCTAAAAAACGTGGTTTTATTGCTCCTCTCATCTGTGCTCCGTTGAGACCATTTGAACAGGGGAATCGGTACTGTTGTCTCTTTTCATTATACTGCAAATCTCTCTGACACTTCAGTCCTCTAAAAGAATATCTTCACTGAAAAGTGTCTGTCATGTGCCAGTTACATTTACCAATGGGGTAAAAATGAAAGAGAATGTTGGGGTTTTTTTTTACTCTTTTCTTTCTCTGAAAATGGAAAGGTGTTTTTCTGCACATGTCTTGGTGACTAAGGAATTATGATTCCTTTTCCCCATGTTTTCTTGCATATATCAAATGGGAGAAATACAGTAAACTAGATGATACTTAATTCCTTGGGAGGCAACTCTCTCCCTCCTAAGAAATGAAAGGTGTCATTTTTTCTTGGGAGAGACAGACATTACTGATAAGCTACTGAGCGTGTCTGAGGTCTCTGAAGCTCCTACAGGTCTAAGGAGCTTTGGTCCTGGAAGTTATTCTGACATTTGGGTTTTAATTCTCATCTTCTTTAGGAATCTTACTGTTAAAATGACGTTGCATGAAAATGTGCATCTTTTTCCATATGCTCTTCTATGAATTTCTGATCTGCACTTCCTCTTTATTATGACTTTAAGTTATTTGTTTACTACGTACAATGTAGTCTATTAGTAGAAGTCATAACGCTGAGGTTTGGACTGTGTGTAGCAATATGTGTTGCTAATTTATATGCCTCAGATGCTGATAAAAATAAAGATGAAAAGTAGTATTTCATTCCTCGGGGAAAACAGATCAGGCTGTGTTGATGGAAGACTGCCCTAGATTCATGAACGAAGTATTGACTCATTAGTAGGATGATTCAGAAAATGTTTTCTTTCTTTTCCCCCCCTGAGTTAGGTGGTGTGCGTGTTTGCAATGTCAGAATATTTGCAAACAAAATACAGATTATCGCTTTCCTAGGATGAAATTATTTGTGCTGTTTGAAATTTGTTATTTTTCACACTCGGTGAAGAGTAATTGGCACATAGGCAATTCTGACAAGAGAGAAAATGCACAGAGGCACTAGACTTCATCAGGGAAAAAAAAATTACATAGGCCAGCCAAAGGAACAGATTTCCACTGTAGATCCTTCCCTGCAAGAGCAGGTGGGGCAGTAGTGCCTGATGTGCCCCAGTACCTGACAAGACTCCAACTTATTTGCAGCAGCCAGCAAGCCAGTGAAGTGATTTACTTGTTATATGACCCATCGCTCTTAATGAATGCAATGTAATGAACTGTTTAACATTTGTGAGAAAATATTTTTAGAAAGAGAAGAACTTGGTCAAAGCTAACTCACTCCCATGAATTCAGGAAATTATTTCATGTATTATTTAAACACTCCGTTGGCAATTTGCTTTGATTAGTTCTGGCAGCGATCTATTGAGGAAGACAGGTGCCTTGTCATTCTTATCAGAAAGTACCTCTAAATATCTGTCAGACTATTATTTACAGCAGCTGTCTATTTTTCAGGCTTCTATAAGAGGCTGAAGTTCAGTAAGAAGTATTTGATTAAGCAATATAATTTATATACATGAATATAATTGTGTATACTGTGGCATGCTTTTTTTCAGTCTAATGAGTTAAACTACAGCCCTATATTTATTTGCAACGTTTGCAAAGTGATTTTTTTTTTTTTAATTAAATGTACTCTGTGTGTTTGTATTTTCATATGCTGTTAAATTATTTACTGTGGAGCATACTAAGGCTTTTGGTTATATAAACAGTTATAGATGTGTATACATACACTCAAAGTGTGTAAAAAACAAACAAAAAAACCCCACTGCAACTGTAAATTAAAGGATTATGAAAGGTGGTGGTTTTCATTTTAGAAATGTCTACTATATGTAGATAGTTTTTAATCTTTTTTGTGTTTTTTTGTTTGTTTGTTTGGTGGTTGTTTTACAGTTAAAGAATCTGAGTTTAGAAGAATTACAGATGCGATTAAAGGCTTTGGACCCTATGATGGAACGAGAAATTGAGGAGCTTCGTCAGAGGTACACTGCAAAGAGGCAACCTATCCTAGATGCGATGGATGCAAAGAAACGGAGGCAACAAAATTTCTGAGTTTGTTTTACTTTCAGATAATACTATGAGTCAGTGTGGACACTGGTAACTTTGTAAGTCTGAAGGAATTCGATTATGAGAGTTTTCAAAAACCCAATCTTTTGAATTCTCCTTCACAAGCAATGACAATTGGAGCAGTGAAAGAACATACCTATGCTGTTCTGCAAAGGCAGTGAAACACATTACCACTTGTTTATATTTTCCAATGTTTAATGTAATAGCAGTTTAATCTGTTACTTCCCAATCTTTTTCAGGTGTATAGTGGTAACTTGGTGTTGTACACTAGGAGTTGTGTTTTGGAGCACCTGGAATGATTTCTTGATTGTGCAACACTACAGAGCCTTATGTTGCAATATATTTTCCTCCCACTTAGTAGCATATTTATTATGTAATCTTTGGTAATCCTATTTATTTTATGCCTGTTTTCTTTTTTATTAGGAAGTACTAGGATAATACTGTGGAGAGCAGAGCCAGATTAGATAAAATTGGTATTGTAGTATAATGAAAAGAAGCTCACCACTGTATTATCTTTTAAAACTCCAATTTCAGCAGGCATCCCAATTCAGGACAGCACTTGAACATGTATCCAGCCCATTCATATCAGTAGGATTTAAGCATAAAATAAGTAATAGGCACATGTTTTTCTGCTCTCCTGAACCAGGGACTGTGGCTGTAGTTGAGCAATACAGTTGTTACGCTACGCTACAGAGCATTCTTTTAGAGAGTATTTCTATCATTTTTACACACACTGAATTATCTCTCATTAAAGAAGAAAACAAGTGCCTAATCAGTTTTGATTTTTCTGTTATTCAGGAGAAGCAATACTTGCAGTCGCTCCTTCAGTGTAAATTTCCAATTGCTATAGAGGTATAAACCTCTATTTTTGCACCGTAGTTTTATAATGAAGTAACAGCTACACTTTCTAGATATGTTTTTTGTTTCATTTAATTTTTTATCACCATTTTGAGGGGAGAGGGGAGTTATTAGTGGTTTGGGTTTGGTTTGATTTGGTTTCACATTATTCACGAAGGGATAGTAATTTAAAAGCCAAAGAAAATCAATTGAATACTTACAATAAGTACTGAAAAGAAGCAACGTTTTGCAGTCCTCTGAGGGTTTTGTCCTGCAATTGCTAAACATTCAAAATTCCTGTGGTCTTCCATGGTAGATTTTGGGGGAATCAGAAATGCAGGACCAAGCTCTTAATGTCTTTTTACAAGTTGTTCTGTCTGGTTTATGTTGTGGGATATCTAGTAGGTAGAATTTACAACATTGCGAGAAATATTTCAGACTTAGCAGAAAATGTGATCCACTTTTTGAACAATCTACTGTGTTCTCTGTTGATATCTTTACTATTGTTGCCTTTTGTGTAAATAACTTTACTGTGATAGTCATACTTCTTTAAACAATACAGCTGAAAAGATCTTTACATTCAACCTTCAGCTGTTAAACTTTTAATGGTGACTACTGTATGGGCATCTTCTGTTAAATGTTTTCTGGAAGTTAGTAATCATCTCATACCTCTTAACATTTACCGTCATCATATGTGGACCATTTAGATGGAACAGTGCAGATTTTGGAAACGGTGCATTACATCATAAAGCTTACGCAGAAGGAGAACAAAAGTTTTTACAAGATCAGCGTACTGCAGCCATGCTGGGACCAGTACTTGGGTTTGAGCTGTACACAGCCATTGTTGTCATTGTCATTCTGTGTGCGTGTGTGTGTGTTTGCGTGCACAGCACGCTCTAACATGTAAACCCTAGAATCAAATAAATTTTAATTGTGATTGTTAGAACAACCTTACCCTCAACTCTTTTCATATTTCTTAAAGTAATGACCATCCCTTACGAAAAAGGAAGAACACAGGAGATCCATAAAAATTACTTTAGGCAAGATAAATGCACCTGGTAGTCTTATGCCTCAAATTTATACAATGAAATGATGTAAAGTAAAAAATGGTATAATCATATCACCGTGTCATTAGATTATAATCATAATGCAGCAAAAAATAACAGCACCAACCTCCCCCTATTAGTATGTTTCTTATTTATTTAAAATGAATTTCTACTTCTTGAACTTTCTGTTCTCAAAAACTCAAAGGTGTGTGTGCGTACATATATTTGGGTAGGTATACACACATATATATGCATATCTATATATATAAGAAAAAATATAAAACAGATTTAAACCATCAGGAGAGGAACCTAGTTTGCCTTTTCTTGGTGTGCCTTTTAAGCAAAGTGTCATTGTCCAGACACTCTTGCTTGCATCATTAGCAGCTTTCTTTTCCCTTACTCTCTTAAACTTTTCCCATCAAAAATAAGACTTTGATTTTGAATAATGTGGCTTTACAGTGTAATAGACAAGGTAATAAAATGATCACGATTTTCATATTTTGGGTATTCTGAAAATGTGAGTAATGCAGTGCACTAAATATGAATTGCCTATCCAGAGGGACTCCAGTAAAAGGCCGTTTTAGACTAGAGCTGTTGCAGTCTGACATCTGAAAGGTATCGGAAGATAAAGGACATCCTTTCTTCACTCCTGATCTGTCTGCATAGAAACAACTCAAATTTTGTGCACATGCATGCACACAGGTATGGATTATACATGCGGGAGAAAAATCTGAAAGCCATGGAATAAAATAAAAATGTAAACAAGCTACTTAAAATGAGTGAAAAATAGTGTCTGAGATACTGTAAACCGGGTAGATATACGATGTTTGTGACCAAAGAATACTTCCACCAATTAATATGAAATTAGTAATGTTGCCCTTCTGATACGGTGCACGCTGCAGTCGGTGTAAGAGCTGTCTTTGGCTTCAGAAGCCAGTGTATCAGGCTCTAAATTATGTGCAAGTGTAACGTATAGAAATAGGTTTTATATTGAGTGATGGATACAACTTATTTTTTCTTTCTTCTGTTTATATAAATGAATCAGATCATCCATGTTGATGACTACACATCTCTACTGGAGGATGAGCATCTCTGTAGAGGAAAGCTGATAGTACAATAAATAAGACATTTTAAAAGCAAGCCTTGCAAGAAATCTGATAGAACTACTGACAAGTTAACCTTCAGTAAGATTTTAACCAAGCAATTTCTTGTTTGCTTCTGACTTTGTATGTTTAGGTTTAGTAAGTAAAAAAAAATTTTGAAAAATCATTACTTATTACTAAACATTTGTAATAAAAGCTAATTTTTCATGTATAATTGTCGTCTTGTTGTTCATTCTAACTGAAGCTAAATTATGTTAATAGTAACCATTAACGTTCATTTCCATAGCCATCCCTCATGCTTTTATTTCCTTTCTATAATACTGTGAGCCCAGCTGTGAGTGCAGAAAACCACATCTCTCAAAGTCAGCTCTGGAAAGGAGTTTTCCAGCTCAAGACATTGCTGCAAGCTCTAGAAGTCTGAGGATCTAAGTGGAAGAGTATCAGGCCAGTCTAAGGACAGAAATTCTCAATTCTTTGTGGAAGTCCCTCTCTCTGCGATCTAAGGTTGCTAAAGGCCTAATCCTGAGAGAGCTGAGCACCACTCCAATATGTTGGCAGTCTTCATAGACATCCTTTACTTGGAGGTACTAGGGGACATTAGCAGCTCTAGGTGCTCCTTTGATTCTAGTGTAATGCGAACAACAATAGGTAATGGATAGGCTTAACTAGGAAAAGCAAATACATTTCATGTCTCAAATTTGATTCCATAGCCCATTTCTTTTCTGATTGTTTAAAAAATTATTCTCTAAGAATTTGCCCACAGAGGCACTTTAGGAAAAGGGACTTATGAACAAAACTCCTTAGTGAAACACAGTATGTTTGAAATATTGGATATTATAATTATTTACTGTTTGTTTACAGTAAATAATAGCTTGCCTGTATTTGCCCAGGTATAGTCAGGTGCGAGTGCACCGTGGCTCAGGCTGCTTCTCCGTCCAGTGTGTTGAACTTCCAAATATAAATACGGCTCATGATGAGTGAATCGTGCACAAGCACATGAGAGCGCCTTAGTCACCATTGATAAGCCCTGGTGCTTCCAAGCAGAATGTATACTGTGCCACTTCTGTAAAGCACTTTGCGTGCACGCTGTTTTATCAATGTGATATGATGAGGGTTACATTTTCTTTTTAAGTGTCTACGTGGTTATAAAACTAATTAAAAAGACCTTATGACGTGAGGAAGTCTTTATTTCTTTGCATTCATAAATATTAAGGGCTCCAGCTTACTGTGGCATTTCTGTACTTCCAAAGGCGATGATGGATGTTCAATAATATACAGCTGGCTGGGAAATTGGCTTTGGGATATTTCTGTACCAGGCTGTGGTGCAGCAGTGTTATGTCCACTATTGCCGATGAAAGCCTTGGAGAAGACAAGTCCTGAGTAGCGCATGGTGTTTCTCACCACTGTGTTGTGCCAGGTGAAGTAATGGCTTAATCTTTTCGGGGAAAGGCAAAATTACATTGATGGTTCAGTGTGAAGTCACTAAGTTGCACTTGGGGACTTGCCCTGTTAAGTTTGTTTTAAAATACCTTTTCACAAAATGCATTTCTCCTCTGTGTTTAGGGTATTCATTATGGAAAGGGTCTACCATTTACACGGTGTGCTCTCATCCTTTTTTGTTGTTGTTGTTTTGTTTTAATTTGTTAGGGTTTTTTAAGAATACTTGAAAATTCCCCATATTTTGCTTCTTCCCCCTGCTCAGGAAGATGAATGTGGGCATAACTTTTAAGAGCATCCCCTGACCCAAGCGTTCTTGGGACATTGTGCACAAATGCAAATGTCAGCAACAGCTTTTATTCTCTTCTTCTATTCGGAGATGACTGAAGTAAAGTCTCGGCTGTCCTCTTTTCCCTTCATTTGAAAGTACGGGATATTCAGATTCTAACCAAATCTTTCTCTTTCAGAATATTTGTTAGTCCCAGACAGCCTAGTTACTAGGTACTTTTTTCTATTGCTTGCTTCACAAATTCCTCAGGATAGATTCATGCTTAGTTTCACGAGGCCTTAGAGAGTCTTCTATTTTAGAGAAGAGCTATATTTGTCACAGAAACAGGAAGAAAGAAATAATTTAAAAAAAATTTCTTTGGGGAGGAAAGAAAAAGTGTATGGCATTTGCACCTGGCCAGGTCGCTTATGAGGCTAACTATGGATGTGAGGGAAAAAAGTGTTGGCTGACAAAAGCAAATCAGGTGGTCATCTGCGTAACTTACTGTTCTACGTCGCTGTTTCACAACTGATTTTCTTCCATTCATGTTTATTGTCTTTTATGTTTGTGCTTTATTTATTCAGTTGCCACTTTTAAAGATAGAAGTTTTAATTTTTTAAAATTTTATAAATGGAAACATGCCATAACAGTGCCAAGCAAATAAACACGGAAAAAAAACCCAGTCAAAGTCCCTGAAAGGGTGGTGTTTTGTCCTCCTTACCTCCCCCACTCCCTTCTGGGGTCATGGCGGGTTTTGACTGCAGATGATGTTTGTCTCTGCATGGAGGGACTTTCCATGCTCTAACCCTGGGCAGGTGTGGGTGGAGGTGGTTTTATCAAGAGGGCTGAATGAGCTGTACGCCTACTCAGGATGTCGTATAAGCGTTGTGCCCTGCTGGGAACCACTGTCCCCCTCCTACCCTCCTCCTCCTCCTCCTCTCCCTCCCCTGCTGTAGTGGAGGCACTGAGGCTCCTGCAAAGTGTGAGGAAGCAACACGAAGCAGTGGGTACCACTTTGCCACCGAGAGACTTAGCATGAATCTGGAAGCTGTTGATCAGCATGAGGGTAGCACTGTGCTCAAACCAATGCCTGTGGTCTAGGAAGCCTTGCGAGAGCCAGCTCCTTACCTCAGGGACAAGGCCAGGCTGCGGTGGCAAATGGCTTTTGATGCAACTTTGCTTTGTTGACAGGACTGCAGGATGGCCATAGCCCCCGATGCAGATGCAGGCATGCCCACACCAAGGTATCCGAAAAT